GAGGGTGGACATGGCCTCCTGCTTCGGGATCTTTAGGTTTGAGGGGTGACCAAGGAACAGCTATTGGGGCGGGGTGTAGATCACGCTTAGACACACAGACTGACATGCCCACATGCATGCACACAGGGGCCCTTGCAGTGTAGAACTGAGCAGTGGGTGATGTACCGCTTGGGGCCCCATTTGCAGCCTGGCTTAGGTCCCTGCAAATGTTAGGAGCAGGCCTGCCCATGTGCCCACTGGAGACACAGAGCAATACTTGGTGACGTCATGCCATCACTAGTTCCTATTGTCGCCTATCTACCTCCCTCCTCTGCGCCGTACCCCTGAAGAAGCTGCTGGTCCCAAGCTAGGCCCACAACGGTGCCGGTTGGGGAAGGCGCGGAGGCCCCAGCACCAGCAGGGTTGCCTGGTTTCTTGCGAATGTGAACACCTACGCGCGGAAGAGGGGGAGTGTGAGTTGGAATGTATAAATGTGTTTGGGTGACTGTGAGCAAATAAGTGAGCAAGCAAGGAGGAATGAAAAAGAAGAAAAGAAGGGTGACCATGTGAAAAAGAGTGTGTGCATGAGAGGAGAAGAAAAATAAACGTGTGCGTGTACAGGGAGTGGAGGAGGCACCCAGGTACACACCCAGTGCCTGCTACAGTACCTAGGAACAGTGGGCAACTGAGGGCCTGGGAACAGGGCACAGAACGGGAGGGAAGGAGCATGCCTGCTTGTCTGTATGGGTGCATGAGAAGGGGCGCGGATGCGGGAGAGAAAGAGACCTAAAGAGGGAAGGCGAGAGCAAGCAAGTCTGTCCATCTCTAAAAGCATGTCGGGTGGAAGGGGATGCATGATGGAGCCATGGAGCTAAGACAGCCCGAGTGTGCAAGAGGAAGACGGGCAGGGGTGTGAGCTTGAAGGTGGGTGTGCTTCCACAGGGCTCTGTGAGACAGAGAGACCGGGTGCGTGCCTGGGTGACTGTGTGTGGGTGTGTGCACGTGAGCATGTGAGCATGAGGCTGTGACAAGTGAGAACCCATATGAGTGTGCGAGCACATGCGTGGAGTGCCCTGTGAGCGAGCACGCCTGTCCCTGGGGCAGCTATGGGTTGCCTGAGGTGTTGGCGATGCCTGAGGATCTTTTCTCCCGAAAATTTCAAGCAGGGAGGACTGCATGACCTGCTCGGCTCAGGCCTAGGTGGCTGTGGCTGGGAGTGTTGGCGATGTTGCCCCAGCCTGGCAGTGCAGTGCGTGTAGGAATAAGTGAGTCATCAGGCATGGCTGGCCCCCACTCTGCCTCGCTTCTGGTTTCGCCCAGCAGGGAAGACAGCTGGGAGAGGGAGAGATTACTCGAGGACTGTGTTTTTACACTATCATTATCCAATTGCTTGCAGTGCCCATGGGCTCATTCTAAAGGGCCAGCACCCCAATTCTCTTGGTCCTTAGCCTGCCATCTCCCTTTATGTCCAAGTTGCAATTCAGGTGAGTGGTTTCAGCGGATGAACATTTGTGGAAATCTACTCCTTACCAAGTTCCAGAACCAACCTCCAGTCCTTTTCCCATCCCTGGCTTCTTGGCCTTAATTTTTCCCATAGCACATACCTACCATGCTATATATTTTTCTTATTTTATTTATCTTTCCCTTAATAAAAAATGCCTGTGTAGCACTTGCTATGTACCAAACACTGTTCTAATTTCTCTATTATTTCATTTAATTCTCAAACAATTCTACCTGGCAGTGAATATTATTCTTGCCATTTTGTAAATGGGATGCACAGAGAGGTTAAGTAGCTTGCCTATGATCACCCCATGGTAAGTGGTGGGGCCACACCTGTCAAGGGTCCCTGCTGTTCACCAGTAAACAATATTGTTCTATGGGATTGGACATTTTCTCAGTTTGGTGCACTGTTGAATCTTTGGTGTTTACATGTAGATGCTCAATGACTAGCTAGTGAAGGAATGAAGAAATGAGTGGATGAATGTTAGACATGGAGGATGAAATAGAGAGGTACTTGCCTTCAAGGAGTTCATGGTCCCATTGAGTAAACAGGCAGAAGTTACTTCAATATCATATAAAGATAGCATTGTGGGGTCTAGGGGAGCACACAACATGCCTGGCTTCTGGATGGCAGGGTTTTCCAGAGGAAGGACAGAGAAGGAGCTATGCACCGTGACATCTATCGTCTCCTCCAAAATTCTCCTTGGGGACAGACACCCCTTATCTCTTCCTACCTCAACCTGTAGGATTCCAGAAGATGATGGTGGCTCTATGGTGACAACGGAAGTGCAATGGGGTAGTGGCCAGGAGCATGAGCTCTGAACAGATGGCCCGGAGTGAATTCTCACTCTACCAAACACTTGCTAGGTGACCTGGACAGATTCCCTAACCTGCCTGGGCCTTGGTCCTCTCATCTATAGGATGGGGATAGCAAATGATGCAGACTCCCTAGGTTAGTGGAGGGGATTACATGACATATACCTGTAAAGGCATTTAGAACAGTGCACATAGCACAAGAAAGGCAATGTGCCAGCTCCAATGGAGATAACCAATGCTCCTCTTCCATTCTACCTTGGTTGCTGGCTTTCAGGGGGGAATGGGAGAGAAGGGTGGGATTAAACATGCTCATTACTGTGGCCCTTCTGCTGTGGCTTCATTCTGTTTTCCAGAAGCAACTCAAAGCAGAGCAGAGACTATGTCTGCTTTTTTCACCACTATTATCCCTAGCACCTAGTATAATACCTGACACACAGTAGTTGCTCAATAAATGTTTGTTGAATAAGTGAAGTGCATGTGTGATTTTATTTATTTAATCTTTGTGAAGATAAATAACCATTTTTTAATAAGTTGTTTCCACTTACAAATTAGGAACTAGAAGCCCAGCAAGGTTAAGTGACTTGTCCATTAACACACAGCCCGTAAACAAAACAGCCAGACTCAAAGGCCAAAACCCATGCTCTTTCCTCCCCACCATTGCTACTCTCTGGACAAATATATATCATGTCCTATTTTCCAAAATGGATTTTTTTTTTCTAGCCAGTAGGGCCGTCCCTGGTTGTAGAATCATCTCCGAATTCTATGACTCATATCTGAATCACAGACCTGTTTAGTAGTTGAAAGGGACTTTTGATGTCATCTTGACCTCCCACCCATTGTGGAAATTTCCTCTCCAATGTCTATCCAGATAATACTTGAATGCCTCCAATGATGGAACACTCATTTTCTTCCTCTTCAATTAGCAAGTTCTATAACTGGACACTTTTAGAGTCAGAAAGAAGGTTCTGCATCTTTTGGGCCAACGGGCCTCTTTTTAGTTTCTGTGTATTAGCTTATGCCGTCTTCCTACGAGGCACACCGAATGAAGCAGCTGCCCCTTCACAAGACAGTCTCTCAGAGTCACAGACAGCTCTCACATCCCTCTGGAGAACTGTTTCCTTCAAGTTAGTTGTTTCTAGTCCCCACAACTGTGGAGTGGCTCCTGTCCTAGACCTAGACCATCCCATCAGGCAGTCCAAAGTGTTTTGAGCAAGGGTACCGCCTACTGGATAAAGTGTGAATTGCACCATGGGCTCTGCTCACCTGAGGACCTTCAGCAGTAGCTGGGACCCTGGCTCATGGTGTGAATAAAATAACTGCTTATGTTATTTTTTTAAAACTGTCACCCAAGGATATATTTTTATTGATTTTTAGAGAGAGAAACATTGATATGAGAGACACATCAATTGGTTGTTTTCTGTATGCACCCTGATGGGGGATCGAATCAGCAACCTATGGATGTGCCCTGACCAGGAATCGGACCTGCCACCTTTTGGTGTACAGGATGACATTCCAACCAACAGAGCCACCGGTCAGAGAAATAACTGCTTATTTTAAAGAGTCATTGCTTTAGAGGCACACCTAGTTGTTTTAAATGTCTATCTTAAAGAGTGTCACTGAAGATTCCACTCTAAGGTGCCTTGTCAATCATGAGATTTCTGAAAAACTACAGGTTTGGGATTTCAATATTAGAATTCAAATGGCTGTTTTTAAAAAAATATATTTTATTGATTTCAGAGAGAAGAAGGGAGAGGGAGAAAGAGAGAGAAACATCAATGATGAGAGAGACTCATTGATTGGCTGCCTCCTGCACGCCCCCTACTGGGGGTCGAGCCTGCAACCCAGGCATGTGCCCTTGACTGGAATCGAACCCAGAACCCTTCAGTCCTCAGGCTGACGCTCTATCCACCGAGCCAAACCAGCTAGGGCTGTGTTTTTGTTTTTTGTTTTTGTTGTTGTTTTTAAACAAAAAGGTGTGGAAGGAAAGAAATGAAAATGGTAATTTTTCTTTTATTTCTCCCCCTTGTCTTTATTTTCTAATATTTCTACAATGGGTATTTGTTATAAGAAGAAAAATAACCACTAAAAAGTTTCTAAAAAGAAAAACAACACTAAAATCTTCCCCCACATTCCTTCCCTTTATTCCTTTCACTTTTCATGACTTGGGCATTTGGTCTACAACTGGGACATCTGCCCATGGGCAGGAGTGCCTCGGTGATATTTCTGTGGTGACATGGCCCGTGGTTCAGACAGCCAGGCTCCCCCCAGGTGTGGTCAACCAGACTCAAGCAGCATAATCTGACATTCACAACCAGGCTTCTCAACAGGGCTGCCAGATAGTGTCTCCACATTATCCACCCCACCCTGGGTTCATGCCACAGTCAGGCTGCGCTTCCTAATCTTACCTCTTGAAATCTGCACAGCACACTACTGGTCAGTGGTCATGTGCTGGCCAGCCCTAGACTCCCCAGCTCTCCACCCTCCCAGCACAACCTCAGCCACCCCCTCTTCCCTCCATGGGAGCCAGAACAGCTCCAAATGATGAAAAACAAATTCCCATTTAAATGAAGATCTATGGACCAGCTGAGTCACTCCTCTCAAGCAGGCTCCCAGCTAACCAGGCTTTACTCCAGCCCCAGTGTCATCTGAGGCTCTCTCCCTCCATCTGGAACTCTAGGGGGCATCTGGGTGCTGGGAAGACTCACCCGGCAGCCTCTCACTGCAGCACATGTCCAGGGCCCCTCCCTCGGAGTCATCAGCAGTGTGGTTCTCTCTCTCCTTCCTGCAGCAGGATGAAAAACGGGAGATGAGGCTGGCATCAAGACAACCCTGAGCAAAGATCAAAAGCCTTCCTTTCTTGTACTGTGTCCCTTTGAATAACTCCACCCCACTCCATCAGGGGGACCTTAGGAAAAGACCAACAGAAGGGTCAGGCTGCAGAGCCAGAAGAATTCTGCAGGTATCTTCCATGTGACATCGGCAACAGTAGCATCGCTATGACGACCATCCTCCTCCTCCTCCTCCTCCTCCTCCTCCTCCTCCTCCTCCTCCTCCTCCTTCTTATCATCATCTCTAGATTTCAAGGGGGGCTTACCATGGGCAAAGCACTTTACAAATTTTATCACAGAGTCTTCATTGTGACCTCATGAATTAGGAATCATTAAACAGGCTCAGAGAAGTTCAAGAACTTGCCCAAGGTTACACACATCATTTGGGCGGGAGCTGGTATGAAATGACAGTCTCGGACTCCAGGCTCATGCTCACTGCTGTGCTGTTCTGCCGCTTAGTTACTGAGGGTTTAAAAGTTGAAAGCACTGGTGAGCAAATAGAGGGGTCTGAGTAACACCGTCTGTGCCCAGCTCCCCAAGGACTGCAAGTGCCCTGTGCCTCAGGCAGTGGACAGTGGTATGCAAAACGCTTCTCCAGAAATAGCTAGAAGTAGCCATTCTAAACATTCTATTTCTTTCTGAAATCAGAACACCCTCTTTCTAGACCATGAGGGCACCTTCCAGGATTACACTGGCGTCTAGCTTTTCCCCTTTACCCAATAAGCTGGAAAAAGATTGCTGTGGATCAGACAGACCCCTGGAAGTGTCTATAGACAGGCATCATCTAAGGGCAATGGCACAGCTCACAGGGGCTCCCGACTGTGGGAATGGCTGGAACTGCAGGTGTGGGCTCCAGTGGGCCCCGCCTGCCCTTCATGCCTCTGACTCCTGGCAGTGGGTGGCTGATCCGGGGCTGGGCACACCAACCAGGCTGGGCCAATCAGATGCTCTTGCCTGCACTTTTCTAACACACTCAGAGGGCCTGCAGCCTGGGGTGCTGGGGTTGAATCACGGCAGCTGCAGTGCCCTGGAGAAAAGGTCCGAAACATCTGTTGCCGAGGGCCTCGGAGCTGCTGCATCCCGGCCCATCCTGAGTCTTGATTGGGCAACATGTGCACCAAGGCCATGAGATGCCTCAGAATCCTTTCAATAACGTCCAACATTTTAGCTTCAGCTCGTGGGGTTGGAGTTCTGAGATTGGCAACCCAAAGGACCTTTAATACAGCCCCACTAGCATACTACTTTCAAGAAGCCCAAGAGGTCAGCTGCCTCTCTGCCCACCACTCCTGCAATCCTGCCTCTCGGGCCAGCCCTGAGGCTGGGCTGAAATAATAAAGGGCAGACAGGCTGGGTGAAGGTGCTTGCAGCGGGCATTGCATTATATTCCATTCTTTCCTCATTGCAATTGGCACTGTCTCTGAGAATCCCAAATCTCAGAGCCGAGCTCTGCTGCAGAGAGGGCCCTTTAAATGTCTCCTGAGTCTTTCCACCTTTCTCCCTCTCCACCACCTCCATCTCGGTCCACACCAAGCATCTCATGCCTAGATTGCCGAGGCAATCTTTTTTTTAAAAAATTGATTTCAGAGAGGAAGGGAGCTAGAGATAGAAACATCAATAATGAGAGAGCATCATTGATTGGCTACCTCCCACACGCCCCACACTAGGGATCGAGCCCACAACCCAGGCATGTACCCTGACTGGGAATCGAACCACGACCTCCTGGTACATAGATTGATGCTCAACCTCTGAGCCATGCAGGCCGGGCATCGAGGCAATCTTTTAACTGGTCTCTGGCATCCACTCAGGCTGGCCTCCAAAACATTCTCCATATGCTCCAATGCACACATATGGCTGCATAGGTTGTGCATTCTACAACCTGTACAACTGAATGGGGCGGGCTTGAGCTAGAATCGACTCTTTCCAAACTCAACATTTATCACATAACCTTCCTTGATAAATGACTCGGATGGCATCATACTGCACTTGGAACAAAGACAAAGATCCTTTAACAAAGTTTACCTGACCTTGCATGGTCTGACCCGTGTTTATCCCTCCAGCCTTATTTCAGGACCCTTTCCCTACTGACCTCTGCACTCTGGTCAGGCTCTTCTATGCAGGATGAGTTTGTACACGTTTTTCTCTCTACCCAGAAAGCTCCCCCATCTCTACTTCTCAGTACTTTATACTCATAGCACTTGACACAATTTGAAATTTCACTTTGATTTATGCCATTATTTGATTAGCATCTACCTCAACCTTTAGACCAGAAGTTACAACAGGGTAGGGACCACCATTTCTGTTTTATTTTCAAAGTCTCACACAGTGGCTGGCTCATAGTAAGGGTTCACTAAATACTTGCTGAATAGATGAATGTTGCCCTGACCATCTTGAAAAACCACCAGGAACCTCCAACATGGTTACCATCTGAGCTGCCTGGCTGGCAGGTCTTTGTTAAGCCACTTGGAACCCTCCTCCAGAGCTGCTGTCAAGAGCAGTCACAGAGTCACACATCTGGAGCAGTGACTGTGCAGAGGAGGAAACTGAGGCACAAAATGGGGTCTGACTTGTCCCAGGCCGTACATCGCAACCACAGAAATTGGGATCAAGAATGCCTATCCTGCCCTAACCGGTTTGGCTCAGTGGATAGAGCGTTGGCCTGCGGACTCAAGGGTCCCGGGTTCGATTCCGGTCAAGGGCATGTACCTTCGTGGCGGGCACATCCCCAGTGGGGGGTGTGCAGGAGGCAGCTGATTGATGTTTCTCTCTCATCGATGTTTCTGGCTCTCTATCCCTCTCCCTTCTTCTCTGTAAAAAATCAATAAAATATATTTTAAAAAAAGAATGCCTATTCCTGCCCTAGCCAGTTTGGCTCAGTGGATAGAGCATCAGCCCTCGGACTGAAGGGTCCCAGGTTTGATTCTGATCAAGGGCACGTACCTTGCTTGCAGGTTTGATTCCCAGCCCTGGTCAAGGTGTGTGTGAGAGGCAACCAATCTCACATGGATGTTTCTCTCTCTGTGTCTCTCCCCCTCCCTTCCACTCTCCCTAAAAATCAATGGAAAAATATCCTCTGGTGAGGATATAAACAAACAAAAAAAACCCCCACAAAAAACCCACCCGCCTATCCCTAACCTCCCCGTTCTGAGAAAGAGCTTTTCCTTTATCCTAAAGAACACCCCCGCCTAAGGACAGTCCCTGAGGGCTGCCCCTAGCTGGGTGCAGAAAAGTAACCAAGGGATCCAGATACCTCTGGAAGGGGCCCCAGGGGTGACTCACAGACGCTTTTACACCTTAAGCCTCCCAGGCCCCACGCTGTGTTCAGAATAGCTTGGTGCTGCATGCGTGCAGAGGACTCTATAAATAAGCTTCCTAGAAAATGACTAATTTCATAATCAGAGAAGCAGAAAGAGTAGCACCTCGAGTCTGTAGAGGAAAATGGAATAAGAACCTGCAGTCGAAGGACTCCAGGTACCCTCAGCCCAAACCCACATGTCTAGGCTGTTCAAGGGAGGGTTTTAATTAGATTCCCAGAGAAGATGGTCCATTCAGGCTACATGGAGAAGCCCAGTCTCTGGGCACTGCCCTCCCTTCTCCTCGCCAAGAGCAGAAATAGCTGCTTGCAGTAGATTGCTGCAGGCTCCTTCTAGCTCCTTCTCCACTTCTATCAGCGGGCAAAGGAGCAGAAAACCGTGACAACAGGCAGCGACTTGCTGGAGTGGCCACCCACTGTTGCTCTTCGAACCAGAAAACCCTGGAGACAAAGGGACATCACCTCGCCTGTCCCTCCCTCAATGATGGAGAATGTCTGGGAGGGAAGGGAACCTTCCCAAGGCCATTTGCCTTATTTAACAAGCAGTTGCTGAGCATCTCCTATGAGCAGGCACCAGAGCTGTCCCAGGAATACAGTGACGGACACGCCAGGCCCCTCCCTCCACAGCTCCCAGTCCTCTTGGGAAGACACATGTGCAAACATGATGTACCCACGCCTGCTTTCACTGATACATGCATGTGACACCTTGGGAAGAGCTCAGCTCAGCTTGTGGTGAGGGGGCGGGGGGAGGAGGACATCTCCAAGGGGAAGATAGCAACTGGTTCCTAAAGGATGTTTCCAGGTGGAGGAGGGATCACAAGGGAAAGACCTCCATTTTCTAGTGCACATAGCAAGAGCCAGGCCCGGGGGCCCGAGATGTATGGAACATTTGGTGCTAACTGGAAGCAGGCTGGTCAGATGAGGAAGCGACGGGGCTAGGCCTCAGCAGGAGAACACGAGCAAGAAGCAGGCCTGGCTGCCGGGAATCCTGCCTCCTGGGGTGGGAGCCCTCTCCCGCCCGACCATGGGGCTCCCACATGGAGAGGTGCCACAGGCTCCTTCACCCATGGCCTGGGCCGGGGAGGTCAGTAACAGGAAGTGGAGCCAGCAGCTCTAAGAAACGGACATTAGCCCCAGCTTAGGGCATCTGTTCTGACCCCAACTAACTCCTTTTTTCTTTTTTTATTGTAGCAAAATTCACATAAAATTCATCATTTTAACCATTTCCAGGTATACAATTCAATGGCATTTAATACATTCACAATGCTGTTCAACCAACACCATTATCCAGTTCCAGAAGTTTTCATCACCCCGAAAGGAAACCCCATACCCATGAAAGAGTTATTACCTATTCTCCCCTCTCCCAGGCCCTGGCAACCACTAAGCTTCATATTTCCATATGTTTGCCTATTCTGATTATTTCATATAAATGGAATCATATAAAGTATGTAGGTCTTTTGTGTCTGGCTTCTTTTGCTCAGCATAATGTTTTCAAGGTTCATGCAATTGTAACAGTACTTCATTCCTTTTCTGGCTGAATATTTGACTGAAAGAATGTACTATATTTTATTTTTCCGTTCATCAGGCGATGGGCATCAGGATTGTTTCCTCCTCTGGGCTCTTGTGAACGGTGTCTCTGTGTAT